TGCTGTGTTACATGTCTAGTTGAAACAATCGGTGTTTAGGTGTACGGTGTGTAAATTTGTAAGGTGTGGTGTCGGGCTTGACTTCCCCCAGGGCGAGGATGTGTACGTTGGTGCTATTTTGGTTTTTAGTGAAGAAGTTGGTGGTGAGTTTTTGAATGAAATCTCCTATTAGTGGTATCTGGTGTGAAGTGTGCGTCCGTCTCATATTGGTCAGTCGAGGTAGTTTGAGGGCCAGTCGCAGGTATTTGTTTTGTATTATTTGTAGTTTCTGTAGGTGGTAGTCAGCCGCAATGCCGGCCCAGGCAGTACAAGAATTCGAACAACGAGTCCTCAAAAAACCTTCCCCTTGGTGTGCCTATCGGCTCGGGATGCAGCACCCGCAAGGAGGTGGACGTCATAGCCGGGAAGGTGTCAGATAAAGGTGTCCGCTCACCTGCCTCTCTACCTGATCACCTGAAATCCGACGAGGGAAAAAAAAGGGAGCATCTCAAACGCATATTTACGAACTCGGGCAACAGGGCAACCAGGAGGTGAACCTTGTCGCAGAACACAAAGACGTTTCACAAGGCGGAGGGGAAGGGACGACGACGACGACAATCCCGGAAAGGTGTGTCCCTTCCTACCTGGCACAGCAGAGAAACAAATCACACAAGTCACCCCCGTAGGCGCGTCTCGTGATCAGGACGGTAGCGAAGCGAGGAGGTAGGTGTGGCCCGACCACTTGTGGCAGGAACGCCGCAATGCCTCCAGGTGTGCGTATTGATCAGGGTGCTAGCGAAGTTAGGAGGTGGACATGGCCCAGCGCTAGTCTGACCAAGACCGGACCCGGACCGGGCCGGGCCGAGCCGAAACGAGTCGTACAAGTTGCCGCAAGTCGGAGGCCTCCAGGTGTGTCTAGGGATCAGGGTGGCAGCGAGGCTAAGAGGTGGACATGGCCAGTGGGCAGCGCGGGTGCCGCTGACCGAGCCGAGCCGAGCCGTCGTAATTCTGCCACAAGTCAGGCAAGGCATACACACAGGTGAGCCCAGCCAGCCTCAACAAGGATCCGGATAGCAGCGAGCCCAGGAGGTGGATACTTTCGCCGAATCAAATCACACAAGTCATCCCCCCCAGGTGTGCTCAGCGATCAGGTTAGTAGCGGAGGCAGGAGGTGGGCCATTTCGTCGTGTTTATTCCTCCTCGCTCACCTGCAGCGCACAAAAAAACCTCCGAAAACGTGTGTGAACTTGGGTCCATTTACCCGGATCCCAGCGTCAGCCAAGAGGTAGTACTGTCAAACGCGCGGACGTCCAGGTGAAGGCATTCTTAGCGGACCGTAGGACGCTCCGCCGCTCCAGTTTGCGAGTCGCGGTCAATCGATTATCGATCGTTTTGCGCACACCAGCGCGTACTTTCGATCACATAGGTGTGTAAACTGAGCCGGAGCCCAGCAACGCCGAGGAGGTGGAAGTAGACGTTTGGGGCGGCCGCAGCCCTCGGTGCGCATTGTTCGCCCCGTTCCACCCCCCTCCCACCCC